TTTAGTTTACTTCAAGCAAGTGCTTGGCGTTCTGCTCATAGTGCCAGCTGCCACTGACTTTGCTGAATGCCTGGCGCTCTGCTAGAACGCCACTTGCCACTCGGCTTTTAGTTTACTTCAAGCAAGTGTTTGGTGTTCAGCTCATAATGCCAGCTGCTACTGACTTTGCTGAATGCCTAGCGCTCGGCTAGAATGCCACTTGCCACTCGGCATTTAGTTTACTTCAAGCAAGTGCTTGGCGTTCGGCTCATAGTGCCAGCTGCCATTGACTTTGCTGAATGCCTGGTGCTCGGTAGAACGCCACTAGCCACTCAGCATTTAGTTTATTTTGAGCAAGTGTTTGGCGTTCGACTCATAGTGCCAGTTGCCACTGACTTTGCTGAATGCTTGGCGCTCGGCTAGAACGCCACTTGCCACTCGGCATTTAGTTTATTTTGAGCAAGTGTTTGGCATTCAGCTCATAGTGTCAGCTGTCATTGACTTTACTGAAGCCTGGCGCTTGGCTAGAACGCCACTTGCCACTCAGCATTTAGTTTATTTTGAGCAAGTGTTTGGCGTTCGGCTCATAGTGCCAGCTACCACTGACTTTGCTAAGTGGGAAGGATGTCAATTAATTTTTGAGCAAAGTAAACAACTTTCATAAAACTTGAAAATTTCGTACACTTGTAAGTATGCCATTCAAAATGTGTATATTGTTTGAAATTAAACTCTACTTTTACTGGTGGTACCTTTTCAGAGACGTAGCATTCTATGGCTTACTGACCAACCTTCCTGCCATGGTCTCCAGGACGTATGCTCCCTTTCTTATGACTTCTGCAATTCTATATGGACCTTCCCATGGGGAAAACATCTTTTTGACTATTCCCACCTTCGTTTTTAGAACCAGATCGCCAAGGGCAAAATCTCTGTACTTCACCCTCTTGTTATGGCTATTTACGAGCGTCTGTTGATAAGAAGCAAGCCTTATTGCAGCTGCGTCCTTTTTCTCCTCCAACAGATCAATATTAAACCTTAGCATCTTATCATTTTGCTCTTGATTCCACGCCAAGCTTTTAACGGTTGGAACTAAGTGCTCGATTGGTATCACTGCCTCGGTGCCGTACGCCATAGCGAATGGGCTCTCCCCGGTCGGCCGTCTTGTGGTTATTTTATAGACCCACAAGACGTTTAGAAGCTCATCTAACCATTTTCCTTTTTCCTTTTCCAGATTCTTCTTGATGCAGGCAAATATTATCCTATTCGTGATTTCAGCTTGACCATTAGCCTAGGGATGACTGATTGCTGCTAACTTCTGATTAATTCCATATTCTTCCAGCAGCTCTTTCACTTGCTTACTATCGAGATTGGTTCCATTATCCATAACAATCGACCTTAGTACACCAAAATGACAGATAATATTATTCCAGATGAAGCGTCTTACTTGAGTTTGGGTGACACTAAGGTACAGCTCTGTCTCCACCCATTTGGTGAAGTAATCAGTTGCTAGCAAAACGTACTTGTTCTGTAATCTTGCGGTCGGCAGAGCGCCAACCACATCCATCCCCCACTGTGCGAAAGGCCATGGCGTGGCCATTACATACAAGTCTTCAGGTGGTTGGTATATCAATGGTCCGAAACCTCTGACATTTATCACAACTTCTAGAGAATTCTTCTGCATCCCGTGCCATGTTTGGCCAAAAGTACCCTTGTGTCATTGCTTTTTGTGTCAAAGCTCTTCCTGCTGAATGATTTCCGCATACACCTTCATGAATGGTTCGTATGATCTGTCTAGCCTCTGTTGGGGTAACACACTTCAAGTTTAGACCCGAGAAGGACCGCCTATACAATTGATCATGCACAATAGCATACTTTGTGGCGTTGGACCTGATTTTTCTTGTTTCATCTTTCTGTTCGGGTAGCACACCATCACGTATGAAATCCATGATCGGATCAATCCAGCTCGGCTTATATGGTATAACATTAATGTGTTAAGCACTCGGATTAGGCAGTTTGTCAAAAATGGATGGTTGGATCAGCACGTCAACCGAGATAACCCTAGCTAGAGTTTCTCCAGAACTGGACGCATTGCAGGTCAACCGGTCAGCGTCTTCATTATACTCCCTCGGCAATTGAATGAACCTGATCTGATCAAACCTTTTCACCTCACGCAAAACCGTGGTTCGGTATACTTCCATGGTCTTATCCTTGGTTCCATATTCCCCAGTGACTTGCCGAACGACTAGCTGTGAATCACTATAAGCAATTAGATTCTTGATTTTCAGCTCTTTAGCCAACTTTAACCTCGCTAATAATGCCTCGTATTCTACCTTGTTGTTGGTTGCGCTGAACTTAAGTCTTATCGCTTGGCTCAGCGTGGTGCCTTCTGGTGTTTGCAATTGGATTCCAATCCCTGCCCCTATTTGATTTGAAAAGCCATCTATAAAGAGCTTCCATAAGGAGCAACTATAATCTTCCACCAAGTCTTCAACATCACACTCAAGTAGGAAATCAGCCACCGCTTGACCTTTGATTGCCGTTCTGGGTTCGTATGTAATATCAAATGAGCTCAACTCAATGGCCCATTTTGTCATTCTTCCTGATAGATCCTGCTTATGCAAGATCATTCTCAAAGGAAAGGCTGTTAAGACGATAATCTGATGGGACTCGAAATAATGTCTGAGCTTCCTTTTTGCGTTGACCAACGACAAGATCATCCGTTCGGCCTTTGAGTACCTTCTTTTCGGCTTGGCCATTGTTTTGCTGACATAAAACACTGGGAATTGCTTTCCGTCTTTGCAACGGATCAGAACGGCACTAGTCGCTATGATGGATACCCCAAGATATAGAAAGAGCTTCTCATTTGGCTCGGGAGCAGATAGAACCGGAGGGTTGCGCATATATTCTTTCAGGCTGGTTAGTGCCTGTCGTTGTTCATCCCCCCAGGCTTGCCTTCCATGGACTCAAATTGTATCAAAAAATGGTTTACAACGGTCCGAGAGCTTAGAAATGAATCAGTTCAGCGCAACTATTCGACCTGTGAATGCCTGCACCTCCTTGATTGTCTTTGGTTCTGCATTCCTAATCAGAGCTTCTGCCTGCGCTGGGCTGGCCTCAATTCCTCTATGATTGACCACATGTCCCAAGAATTGACCAGAGCTGACGCCGAAAGAACATTTGGCCGGATTAAGCTTCATCCTGTATTGCCTTAACACATCGAACACATCATGTAGGTGCGTTATGTAATCATTCTTCGTTTTACTCTTGACCACCATATCATCAATGTAAGCTTCTATAGTTTTCCCTATTTGACGTTTGAAAATCTTACTGATCAGCCTCTGATAAGTAGCTCCAGCATTTTTTAATCTGAACGGCATGACTTTGTAACTGTAGGTCCCTCGTTCAGTAACAAAAGAAGTTTTCTCTTCATCGATTAGGTCCATGGGGATTTGATTATATCTGGAATAAGCATCCAGGAAGGTTAATCATTCGTATCCTGTGGTGGCATCCAACATTTGATCAATCCTTGGCAATAGGAAGCTATCATTTAGGCAAACTTTATTCAGATTAGTGAAGTCAATACATACTCTCCATTTCCCATTCTTTTTCTGCACAACAATGACATTAGAGAGCTAGGCCGGATACTGAACTTCTCTAATGAATCCTGCCTCGAGCAATCGATCAATCTCCTCAGCTATGATCCGATTTCGTTCGTGAGCAAATCTTCTCTGCTTCTGCTTCACAGGTTTTGCATTCGGATCTACATTGAGGGAATGGCTGGACACAGAAGGACTAATCCTTGGCATATCTGAATGGCTCCATACGAATACATCTACAATCCGAGTCAAGAAGTCAATCAACCCTAGTTTTTCCTTTTCAGTAAGTCTGGATCTTACCCTCGTTGTTCGGTCCAGTTTCTTATGGTCGATCCTCACATCAAGAAGAGGTTCTGTGGTTAGAACTGGTGGCTTCTCCTCCCCACCTTCGCTGGGTAGAGGCTCCTGTAATTGCTATCTTGAACTGGCAGAACGGATGGGATTTTTTCCTTTTCCAGCAGATTTCAAAGTCACTGAATAACACTTCTTAGCTGCAACCTGGTCCCCATGAATGTCAATCACATTGGTCTCATCTGGACCCAAGCATCGCATCACTTGATGTAGGGTTAATGGGACACCCTGAACTCTGTGAATCCACCCTCTTCCCATCAAGAGGTTGTAGGATGGATGAATTTCCACGACCACAAAATTCTCAGTCAAAACTCTCTCGGCAGCTTGTACTGTCAATTCCACCATGCCAATAGGCTCCACCCGCTTCCCATCAAATCCGAGCAATGGATTTCCTGTGGGTTTAAGTTTCTTGGGTTTGATCTCAAGCCGGTCGAACGTCACTCTGGGCATGACATTTGCACTACTCTCTGGATCAATCAGAATTCTTCGAACCAGGCATTCTGCAACTGTTAGACTGACGACTAGTAGATCTTCATGAGGAATCTGAACGCGTAGTAGGTCTGTTCTGTCAAACTTTATCGACGCGGATGCGTTCTGCTGGTGCAAAGCATGTAGACTGCCAATCCTTCTCTTCAACTGGGCCTGGCATAACCGCGTTCTGAACAACTCCCCTGACTCCGTCGTTTGTTCAAGTCGGCCATGAATTGTATTTATAATCCAAATGGGCTGAGTGCTATGGTGGTTTGGCCTCTGGTTTCGTTTGATCTGTTTAGCCGGTCGGTTCTGCTCTTGCGCCGGACCTTGAACATAGCCTGCAAATTCCCCCTTTGCGATTAACATCTTCACTTGCCTCCTTAGGTTCCTGCATTCGTTAGTCTGATGTCCAAAATCACTATGGAAAGCACAATGTTTAGTTTGATCCCTCTGTTCGAGAGGTTGTCTGATTGGTAAAGGAGGGCGAAACTTATCTTTATTTTCTTGGTACAGCCTTGCTAAGGTGACTCTGAGTGGAGTAACTGATTCCTCTTCCCTGGGCATTTTCTCTGCCTTCCATAAGGTATGATGTTGCGGCTGAGCTTATTTTTGCCGAATTTTGGCTTTGGACTTCTCTTTTGTCGAAATAATTGACATCTTCCTTGAATTAGCTGCCTCTTCTTCCTTAAGACAAAAAAAATCGGCAGCTCTTTCGTTCAGCTCATCCATGGTCTTCGACGTATTGACCACCAAGCTTGTGTAGAACGGTGTCCCCCGGTTCATTGCGAGCTTAAATGCTTGGACCGCTGTGGATGGATGACATTCCATTACCATGCTTTTAACCAGGTTGAACCGGGTGAGGAAAGCTTGGAGTCGTTCATCCTCGTGCTGCTTCATTGCGAAAAGGCTTGATACATCCTTAGCCGGATGTTTATTCCTATAGTACTGGCTTATGAACTTATCACACAAGTCCTGGAAACTAGCAATTGAGCCCTGAGACAGATTCTTGAACCAATTGAGGGCTGGTCCAGCCAAGCTTGTAGGGAAGCATTTGCACATCAAAGAATCATTGTTAGTATTCAGAGCCATTTTCAACTGAATGTGGTAGATATGGTCGATCGGGTCAGTTGTTCCATCAAACAGAATGAAAATTGGCATGGAAAACTTCTTCGGATTCGGCGCGTTCAGAATTTCATCAGTGAACGGAGATGCAACATTCCTTGCTGATGAACGCAATGCTTCGTTCTCCTTTGAAAACCGTGACGGAACTCCCTGATCGGCAGATCTCCTTTTTGAACTGCGGTAGTCAAATGTTGCCATTAAAGGTCGATAAGGTGGATCAAATGATCTGTCCTTTACAAACTGACTTCGCCATGGTTATGCAACCCTATGATCACACGCCGACGCTTCGTCTCTCATAATCCGTTCGCGATGTGGCTCCAAATGAATAGATCCTTCTCGATCCTCTACTTGACGGACATTCGGAGGCAGATCGTCTATTATAACTTCATCACGACATGGATCAACACGATTAACACCTTTTGGATCACCTTGATGAATAACATGGGACGGTAAGACTTCCTCTCCTTCTAGAGGTGGCCTCGGAATTGTAGGAGCCTCACGACGCTCCATTCCAGCGTGTAACTCCGCATTTTCTTTCCTCAAGGCGTCAATCATGTTCATCAACTCATCGAGCTTCGTTTGCTAGCCATTTTCCAAAGGATTTAAGCTCTCCTCTCCAATCATCATTCCAGATCGGAGCAAAGTCATCAACCGCAGATTTCTTGATCAGATCGGAGCTTCGCTAACGCATACGCACCAGATCTGGACTCACACTTGCTGAATTCTATTCGTTACTGGCCGGATTCAGCAATATCAACAAATCACAACTGTACAGCTCGCCGGATCAAGCACAAATCAGATGTGCGTGGATCGGACGCCAACCTCTCGAAATCAATTGGAACCAAGACTCATCAAGACAGATCACATTGCCATCAATTTTGATTCAGCTTTCAGAGATTAATCGTTTTCTTTGCAGAATGCTTTGAATCGAATCGATTTGGATCAACATCAATCAATCCGCTTTGTTCCTTCCCACAGACGGCGCCAATTGAAAGTACAAAGAATTTTTCCCCAATTGTAGAGAGAGAAACTTTACACTCCCAACAATCTTCAACTGCTTTTCCCTCTCAATCACCCTTATTTATAGACAGTTATAACCACCCCTAAGCTGGACCTTATTTGCTCTCTTTTGTCTGGACTCGACTTCTTTCATCTTAACATGGGTTTTCGCAATGACTTCTTGGATCTGGGCCCATTCAGTGTGGACTTGCTCCATCCTGGCTACTCATATCCAACCCGTTTTTAGCAACATGAATCATACCAAGCCTAGATCATTTTTAGTATCTTCAGGTGACTGTGGGTGGTAATTCGGGTTCGCGTATCATAATTGTGTTGTGTTGACTTAGGGATATAATGCTAAACATGTCAATCCGAACATGACACGATTAATCGTGTCACATATCCTAAACCCGAACATGACATGTTTATTAAACGGGTGATACGACACGACACGACACGTGTAACCCGTTTAATAAATGGGTCATGTTAGACACACCAAACACGACCTGTTTAAAGACCTATTTAACACGTTTACCTGTTTAACCTGTTTAACAATTTAACCTATTTAATCTGTTTAACAACTTAACCTGTTTAATCTGGCCAAAGATTAAAATAATAGCAAACAAATAAAAACAACAGAAATTAATAGAAATGTCTGAAACTGAGATAAGTCCTAAGTTATAACAAAAGACATTACTCTAGTCCAAAAGAGATTAATAACAAAAGATAAGTCATAAGCTGATAAAGTTATTAATTATTACAAAACCAAATAAAATTATTTAATAGAAATGTCTTAAACTGAATCTTGAGGCAACGAGTCCCTAGATTTTAATTTTCGGTCATGCTAACACTGGTGGAACATTGGCCTTTAGCAGGATCATCATTGTTGATATTTAGTTTCATCACATCATCAATCAAGTCATCCATTTGAAGCTTCATTGTATCTATAAAAAATCATACACAAAAAATTTATTAGTTCACTATTTTCTGCAATAAAAATATAATTTGAAATTTATTTGAAGCTTCATTGTATCTATAAAAAATCACACACAAAAAATTTATTAGTTCATTATTTTCTGCAATAAGAATATAATTTGAAATTTATTAACAGTCATTTACCTTTCAAACCAAAAAGCCAGTCCCTTGTGCATACCAAAGCCTCCACATTTTCTGGTTTAAGTGCACTACGATATTGATCAAGAACCCGACCACCAACACTAAACGCAGACTCAGAAGCAACTGTAGTGATTTGAATGCTTAATATATCACAAGCCATTTGAGCAAGCACATATCACGAGCCATTTGAGCAAGCACAGGATACCTAAACTTATTGTCTTTCCAGTAGGAAAGCACATCAATGTTCGCATTCCTATTGATTTTTGGTTCATCTAAATAAAGTTCCAACTCTGATTTTTGGGCATTTCCAAGCAATTTATCACTCTCAAATGAGTCAAATTCCTATATGAACTAATTTATTTTTCAGTTCTTTAAAAATAAAAAAACAAAATCTGTTATTAGAAAACTTAACTTATATATTTGAAAATTACTTTTAGTTAGATAGCATGGCAGCTTCAATAGTAAAAGATTTAAAATCAGAGAAAAATCATGGTAGGAATAGAACAGAAGAAAAATCAGAGAACAATGCAAATATAGTCATATACTCCATGTGGACACTTAATAAACCCCTTTGGAGCACTTCTAAATCTCATCAATGATCAATTGATTAATGATCAATCCATGGAGTCATGGAGAGGAAAAGAAAGATGCATTGATGAGATTCACAGAGGAAGCTTCCCTGCGCTGCAAGTGGGCAACCAAACATTGATTTTTCAACTAACCTCAGTATGGACAAAATGAAGAGTTGTAAAGAGCATGTGAATTTTAAAAGGTTGATGTCATAATTCTCATTACAAAAAAATAAATCCGGGAGGCTTGTAGAAGATAAAAAAAAAAAAAAAAAAGATCGAGATGATAGATCGATCAAGTCTCAAACGTGTTTTTGTATCATTCAATGGACAATATGGCAGTACAGTTGTTTGTCTTTGTGTTTGGTTACTCCTCAGAACATAAATCCCAGGGATAATAAGTTCTCTTTTTAACATGAAGTCGTCTATTTTTTTTTCCCTCTCTTTCTACATGTAATGACTGATAAGAAAGTTTCTGGTTCTGGGTTGATTTAATTTAAGAAAAACATTCCCATTAGAATAAATCAAATGAAAAAGGCATTTTATTATTATTTATTAATAAGTAAAATTCATTAAAGAGAGCTCAAGAAAGGAGTGCATCTGAAAACAACTGCACAAAAGCCAAAAAAAATCAACTATACACTCACCCACAAAAATAACAAATTCAGCAAATCAGCAATCAAGAAAATTAAATCGATCCCATAAACAAAATCTAAACGAAAACCATAAATAATTTTAGATAAACCATAAAGAGAGAGAACCAAAACAATATTTAGATAAATCATAAACCATAAATAATTTTAGTATTTTACCTAAACAAGAAGATAGATCCAGGTGAGTTCACTGAGTTATAGAAGAATCAGGTGCGTGCAACAAGAAGATAGATCTGGTTGAGTTCACTGAGTTATACAAGATGGAGGACTGGAGATTGGACTGAAGATAGAGATTCGATCATCTGGGTGAGTTCATAATGATAGAGATGGAGGATCGAGGATTTGAAAGAGAAAGGAAGTCGTCTCTTCACTCTTGTCTGAACTCTGAAGAGGAAAGGGGAGAGACAGAGACTAGAGAGAGATTGAAGAGAGAAAAGATTAGAGAGCGGCATATATTTTTTAATGACTAAAGGATGGTGATAATGTGATATGTAGGGTTTCTTATGTATAGTATGAAATGACCTAAATGTCCTTTATCAGGTCAAAACAGGTTATACGGGTTCACAAGTGACACATTTAATTAAATGGGTCAAAGGGTTGAACTCTAAAATCCGAACACGACACATTTAACTTAACGGGTTAATTGTGTCAACCCGTTTACGACACGAACCCGTTTATAGTAAATCCATTACCCATTTAACTCGTGTCGTGAACGTGTCGTGTTGGTGGGTCGTGTCGATCTTTGACACCCCTAATCACTATTGGGATGGGTGTGACACAAATCTAATCAATATACCAAAGCACGTTCCAAGCCCGAGCCTAATGATAGTAAGCCCAAGGGGTGCATCTAGATTTCTTGAAAGGATCCGGCTCTTCTTAGTTAAAAACCCTTTCAGAGCATCCATGAGTAAGTATTTCATCCAACGGTTGAAAGAGTTGCCACATCATCATTTTAAAATAAGGCCTAAAACGCTAACGCTTTCTTCAAACAGAGTCATTAACAATTTTTTTTTTCTTCCTCCAATTCTTCTCTCTCATCTGTTTCTTTGTTCTCTCTCTTCCTCCTCTTATCGCCCCCAATCACGGCAGCCACTAATTCCACCAAACCACCCCAATAGTAGGAGACCACTGATAGTCGCAAACAACTGGACTCACTCTGCCAGGAAAAAGGGTCTTTGGAATTTGGAGCTAACACAGTCTCATACAGAAAAAAAAATGGGGTCTTACAGGGCAAGTTGACTCAGTTGCAGGATGGTATAGCACAACTGGAGTTGGAGAGGAACTTGGTTTCTGAATTTGTTTCTATGCATGTCAATTAATAGGTTGAAGTGATTGCAGAGGAGAGAAATGGGTTTATGAGAGAAAGAGCAGAGATTGAGGGGAGATTGCAGAAACTAGAGAGAGAAATGAAGGAAGTTGTGATGGAGAAGAGTGAGATTGAGAAGGGGAAGAGGGAGAGTTTGAAATTGGTTTATTAGAGAAGAAATTGAGCGAGCTTCTTGTTGAAATTGAAAAAGAAAGAGATGTATCCAAACATTTGATGTTGGATGAAATTGTTAGAGAGAAAATTGAGATTGATCAAGTGAAAGTTAAGAACGAAAGTGAAATTGTTGAAATGCAGAAAGAGACTACTAAACTTAGGAATGTTATATCAGTTTTGGAAGATTCAAGCAAGGATCAAGTAGAGAAAAATGGGCAATTACAATCTGAAGTTATCCAATATAGAGATGAGACTAGAAAAGGACTCGATGAGGAGAAAATGAATGGTACAAGACATTCCATTGAAGATCAAACTGAGAGCCGCTTGAGAAAGCTGGCATCGGAATGGAAAACGGTGCCTCTAATGGCAACATTTTGGCCC